GCAAACTAATGGTGTTTCCAATAATGAATAAAGTGCAAAGAATATATAGAAAGTACTTTGAACATATGATAAGAAAGCAAATATTAAATCATATATGTGAACAACATTCAAACATGACTGTAAGATTAAAAGAATAAATTTATCTTTCATGTTAAATATTGTCTTATTGATTAACTTATAGTTTGATCAATGAAAGATTTGTTATAGAAACTGTATTATTTTTACTATTGGTTTTTCTGTATAAAAAGACTATTGTAAAGGAATTATAACATACTAAATTATGATTTTTTTCAAAATAATTATGGTAGTTTTTTAAATGACAAATAAATAATGAAATGTATTACAAATAAACATACATTTATTTAATATTGTTTTTCATATTAAATTAACAGAAAATATTTTTAAAAGTCTTTGAAATCAAATTTTTTCCCATGAGTTATAAGAATTATCTTTATATGTATCTTGAGTAAGATAGAGAAATTTTGTTACTTAATGGAATAAATATGAAATTTATTTATTTGTCAGATTATTGTATCAAAATCACATAATTGTATTGTAAAAAATACACAAAAATTAAATTTTCATTCCGTTCTGACTTATAGAGGATAAACTTTAAAACATTATGTAAATAATGCAATAAAAGTAAAAAATAAAAAAGAAAGGCAAATCCAACTGCAGAAAAATTCTTTTAATTATACCAATAAATCCTCTAAATGCATTTTGCCAGAAGGGCCTCCTGAATAGAGTTATCTGTGGATAAACAGTTCTGAACTTCCATAAAAAAGTTGATCCTCCATAAGTCGGAACAGAATGAATACAATTATTTATTCCTGTTTAATTGTTCCTGAAGGTAGAATTTTAAAAAATAAATTAAATTAATAATTTGTTGATGATATAAACATTATCCATATTGATATTTATTCATGATCAAAACAAGATTCAAAGATTTTCATATTATAATAATATAATTATTATACTTTGCTTTTTGTATTATTTATAATTTTGTTACAAAACAGTTTAATTATAAAGATCAGTTATATTTTATATACTACATATATATATTATTTATACATAGTATTAAAAAATATACAAGGCACATATCAAAATTACAGGCTGTTGCTAGTTAGTCTGTTGACAATATTATATTCAGGGTTTATGCTGGGAAAAAACTGAAACAAAATTTTAGAAACTGTAACTAACATTTCTCACCTGCAAGGCTGCTCAGAAAAATACATAATACATTATTGTTTAAACATTTGTTTATTCACATAGATACTGTACAGTACATTATTACAGTATACTGCACTGTTAATGAAAGATGAATCTATTGTTACAACCCACAACCATCACACATTATTGAACAATTATTCTTGGTTTTGATTCACACCGGGCAACAAATGCTGAATGAAAATCAAATTCCTGTCTTGGAGAGTCATTTATGGAGATGTTCAACAAGTTGCTGACATTTTTTACATTAAGACTTTTGAATTGGAGTTGTTGTTAATTTCATTTCACTGAAACCTCTTCCATGCTTAAGTGTTCACTGGAAGTGAAAGAATAAATTCAATAACTGTTACTACGTGAGGATAATCTGAGAGAAGGACATTTACAATTATAATTTTATAAACTTTAGCCAACTATATGTAATTGGTAAACATCTTTAAAATGTCAGTTGTTAACTATTTTAACAACCTGGAAAGCATTAATTTTTTAGTGAAACATGTCACTATTCTTGTAGCATTTCATCAAAAAAACTAGCAACAGCTTAAACCCAGTGTATAGAATTTGCATATGTGCAGTAACTTTCACTGATTTGCTTGATGGCTGCCAGCCATTTTGTTATCAGTCTTGTTTTCTGTTCCATGACAGCAATTTATAATGGCTGTAAGAATAAACAGTTCTGCCAATTATGAAGTCAGATTAATAATCCAATTTCTCACTGTAGTGATGCAGAAAGTTATGAAATATGCAAAAATTTGTAAGTCTAAAATAATGAATGAAGGAAAGATTAGACAGTATGTTGCTAGTTTAAGGAAAGCTGCACAAATGTGCACAATGAAGAAAGAAATGGAAGGCCCAATGTTCAGAAAGATGACTTCAGATGTATGAACTTGAAAATTCAAGAAAATTGTCATTTTACAGTTAATGTTCTTATGCAGGAATTTCCCAATATTTCATCATCTAGGGTGTATTAGGCAAATTTTTTAGTGGGAATCTATCAAAATTGTGCACAAGATGGGTTCTATAAATGTTGATGGATGATATGCACAAAAACCAAAGAATGGAATTTGCACATGCAATCTTGGACCATTACATGTAAGAGGGAGAACTTTTGTCCATATTGTCACTGGTACAAAATATGGATTTCTTATGTGAAGGAGAGTCAAAACAACAATCTGTGCAATGTATCCCCCCCATCTTCACCAAAGTGCAAAAAAATTTAAACAAAACCAGCCAACATGAAGGATTATAGCTACTATTTTTTGGGTTGCAAAAAGTGTCTTTATTATGTATATTCTGAAGCCAGGAACAATGATCTTATCCAATATGTATTGCAAAACATTTTTGAAACTTTCAGATGTGCCATTCAGAACCGGCAACAAGGTATTATTCTCTTTCATGACAATACACATTCGCACACTACAGTCTGTACAGTGCAAAAAATTTAACAGTTCAGATTAAAACATTTTGAGCCATCCTCTGTATATATTCTGTATTAGTATTAAGTAGGTAAGTCTTCCTACTAACAGCCACTTGGCACTAACTTCTACTACACTTAGCTATTTGTGGCAGCACTCAATTATTGATGTTTGCTACACTCAGGTTTTCTTTTAGACCCTTCGGGGGACTACGATCTTGCAGCCTAAAAACTGCATGCCAACGACAAACATAGAAGATACAGTTGTCATACGTATGCCGTTCAGAGGGATCCTACCTTTCTCTACTGTCTATCTCCTCTCCCTCCTTCCCCTTTCCTTTGCCCTCTTTTCTGCCAGCTAAGCACCTTGTGTATGGCCGATGTCTTTCATGTATCATGTATATATATTCTGTGTAAAGAGGATTAAAAAAAATTGGTACAGTGGGTGATCGGTTAACGAACATAATCCATTCCAAGACTGTGTTTGCTATCCGAATTGTTTGTTAACCGATTATCAATTTACCATAGGTTTGTATGGGAATTTGATTAATTTTTTCTGACCCCAAAAAATAAAAAATATATACTTTCTTACTACGTTTATTTATATGTAATAATAAAAATACATATATACACAGACTTGCATTTTTATTAGTCATGTTTTTTTTGTTTGTGGGGGTTAAATAATCTGTCTAATGTTAATCGCTTTTTTTCTTCTTCAGGATTTTCAGAATTAATAGCATTGTAATTGTAGAGATCCCCAAGCCTATTAACCTCAACCTGGTTTGTATGCCATTCTAATACCGTTGATCTGAGATTCCCCACTTCTTCAAAAGATCTTTAATTAATAGCAGATATTGGCATTAATCCTCTTTTTCATAATAAAACATATCTCGCTGAGTTTCTTGGTTTTCTTTATTCAAGAGTTCTTGGCATTCTTCTGTTGTCAGATCCATTTCAGGTTCCGTTATGAGCTCTTCAATGTTCTTTATTTCTCAGATGTGATATTTGCTATTCCTTTAGCTGCTTGATTTTTCTTAATTATACTATATCTTTCTTAGGTAAGATTGAACTGCGCCCTACTGTAGATTTGTTCAAACCATACTGCCCAGCAACATCAGACATCTGCCCACTCGCTATCTTTGCTATTATACTCTCACCTTTTGAAAATAAAAACCGACACAAAACTTAATGAGTGCCCGCCCGACAGTCTCGCGAATACTATAAAAGAATTGTTTGTCAGAAAAATAAAAGGCTGGTATTACAAGGGAGTATTTCAAAGTTCGAGGAATACTATCTGATCAGTATATATCCAAAAAGTTACCTGAAGACAAAGGAAAATCAATGGTATTTGCTATTTTGCTATTTTCGTCACTTCTTTTTATGTTTGTTCAGTGAAGTCTACGTTATCCGATCATGTGTTCGTTGTCTGATCATAAAAATCTTTTGCAAAAGTGTTTGTTATCCAATTTGTTCGTTAACCAATCTGTTTGTTAACCGATCTGTTCGTTAACCGATCTGTTCGTTAACCCACTGTACTTTGTTACCAAAACCATTTGAAAGAAAACAGCAACTACTGTATATTGAATAGTAAGAAACAGCTACATATCTACTTTAACTAGTTATAAAATTCTTTGTTAATTTTATTTTAATCACTGATCAATCCTTATTTTTGACATAAATCTTGTAATTAATAAACAGTAATATACATATATATGTGTGTGTTAATTAAGCAATTTGTCTTTCAGGACCTTGGTTTATACATTTTAAAAATATTTCTTTGAATTTGATGATCAAATAGGACAAACAATAATAATATATTTAGCATACAACCAGTTTGTAATAAAATTTTATTTGAAATTATTTTGTTCAGCAAATGACCTGTAATATTGGAATGATAATCATTGATTTGTTATCAAAAATTTCTCCTCAGACTGATACTCAAATACCATTCCATTCCAATAAACTGAACTGAACAATATAACAACTATCTTGACTAGGTAAAATTTATAAATACTATTGAATTTTATAGGTATTATCAAAATTTTTATTATATAAAGTAAAAAAGAAAGGTTTTTTTTTCACATGATTACAGATTGATCTTAGAATAAGTAAATTTATGCAAGAAATAATAATACAGAAATTTAAACTATTTCAGATTGAAGCAAAGCATTTTGATTTATTTTTTAAGTATTAAGAACTGTATTTATTGATTTATGATACATTTACTGGTAAAAACATTACTTCATAGCATTTTATTTCTTAAAACTAATTTTTGTGATTTTGTAATTCAAAATGTTATATCCATTATGTAATAATTTTTATTTTTAGTTAATTTTAAAATATAAATTGAACTAAATTCTTTCTTTGCATTTTTTACAGGGATATTATAGAAGAGCTGCAGCATATATGTCACTAGGAAAATTTAAATTGGCTTTAAAAGATTTTGAAGCTGTAAGTTTCTTTTTGTTCATTTCAAAATATTTAGAATAGTTAATTTTATAGTAGAATTGGCTTACCTGTCACACATTGCTGCGATCTCAGAAGAAACAAAATTCAAGCAAACTCGTTATGATAAAATTCAATTTGCATTTTATCATTTTTATTGAAACTTATTATTATTATATTATTAATTTTCATCGGGAAAACACTTCAAAGTGTCGTTTCATTTCTATTTATTTATTGGAGTGTTTGTGGATACATGATATTTTTTGTTTTTCCGTCTGCTGCATACACGAATAAATCAGAAGGTTTTCCAATGCGTGAGCTGGCCACATACAGTTGTCCATGCAAGAAGCACGGATTCTCCAAATTTAGCCCACACACTTGCAGCGATTGTCAGAAGTGCAATATTCCCCATTTTTATATATTTTTTTAATCCTTTACAATTTTAATTATTTAATTGCTCCTTCCTCTCTTCCTTGGCATGTTGTGAAATTACTGATAGTTGGATAATAAACCGTNTTTCCGACGCGTGAGCTGGCCACATACAGTTGTCCATGTGAGAAGCATGGATTCTCCAAATTTAGCCCACACACTTGCAGCGATTGTTAGAAGTGCGATATTCCCCATTTATATATATATATTTAATCCTTTACAATTTTAATTATTTAATTGCTCCTTCCTCTCTTCCTTGGCATGTTGTGAAATTACTGATAGTTGGATAATAAACCGTTTTATTGTAATTTGTCTTTTTTAAATTATTTTGAGTTGATATTAAAATATTTTGGAAAAGGGGATCCCTAGATCGGTAAAATAGGCGAATTTCCTCCTACAACTTTGGTTGTTGTTCGGGATACAGTTACGGTTTTAACAAAGTTTGAGTGAATACATAATTAGCAAAAAAAAAGTTGAAATAAAGTGATTAGACAAAAATGATTACAAATATCGTAAATAACAGTTCACAAATGCATATATAGAGGTATTTTTTGGAGGGGGAAAATGGTCTTCACAATTTGAAATCAATCAAACACACAGTAAAATGCTTGTATAACGCGCGCCATCTATTGTAGGATAAATGTACTATGCCAGAAACCTTCGTGGGAGTGTATTAAAAAACTTCCCAAAGCTTAATGGCAATCGTACTATGCCAGAAACCTTTGCAGGAGTATATTAAACAGCTTTCCAAAGTTTCATGGCAATCGGATAAATGATGTGGTAATGCATGAAGGACAGACGAACAGACAGACATACATTCATTTTTATATATATATTTTTGAAACCAATTAACAGAAGGATTATAGCTA